AGAATAAGTATGCAAAGTTTCAAAATGATACATTAAGAAATGCAGCCTGTAGATGAAAAGCAAATTTAAGAAATGGGCATGGCTCTGCCCCTGGGGGTCAAGCAAGCACCCAAAACAATAGGGATCATCCTTAGGGTATAAGGAATAAGTATGTAAAGTTTCAAGATGATCACTTAAGAATTATGGCCTGTAATCGACACACAGACACACACACAAAGACAGGGGCGACAGCAATATAGGTCCACATTCATATAACGATAGGTTGCCAGGCAATGAAACATACGCCCACAGCAGCTAAATCGTCTGGGCAGTCAACAAGTGTTGTCGCATATTTTTACTTTTTTCGGTAATGAAACATATGTAATTATCAGAAAACCATTAGAATTTGTTTCGATTTCTGTCCCATGGTAACGTTTAGTATACGAAACTTTTAACATCATGGATTTAGCTGTTCAAGTCATAAAAATTCATTGAAAATCAATATACTTGTTCGTCTCAAGACCTTAAACTCTGTGTATCAATCTGAAGTCAATCGGATATTAACTTTAGCCTCTAGAGCGTCACAAGATTTTTCAAAGTGATCAAGGGCCATAACTCTGGCAGTACTTATCAGAAATCGCCGAAAATCAATAGCCTTCTTCGTCTCATGACATTAAACACTATGTATAAATTTAAAGTCAATCGGATATTAACTTTAGCCTCTATAACGTCCACAAGATTTTTTGAAGTGATCAAGGACCATAACTCTGACAGTAATTATGGGAAATCGCTGAAAATCAATAGGCAGTCAACAAGAGTTGTCGGATATTTTTACTTTTTTCGGTAATGAAACATTTATAATACACTAAAATCTAATACAGAAAACCATTAGAATTTGTTTGGTTTCTATAAAGTTCTGCCCCATGCTAACGTTTTGTATACAAAACTTTTAATACTGTATCATGGATTTAGCTGTTCCAAGTCATAAAAATTCATTGAAAATCAATTATACTTGTTCGTCTCAAGGTCTTAAACACTGTGTATAAATTTAAAGTCAATCAGATATTAACTTTGTCCTCTAGAGCATCCACAAGATTTTTTGAAGTGATCAAGGGCCATAACTCTGGCAGTAATTATCGGAAATCGCTGAAAATCAATAGGCTTCTTTGTCTCATGACCTTAAACACTGTGTATAAATTTAAAATCAATCGGATATTAACTTTGGCCTGTAGAGCGTCCACAAGATTTTTTGAAGTGACCAAGGGCCATTACTCTGGCAGTAATTATCAGAAATCGCTGAAAATCAAGAGGCTTCTTCATCTCATGACCTTAAACACTGTGTATAAATTTAAAGTCAATCGGATATTAACTTTGGCCTCTAGAGTGTCCACAAGATTTTTTGAAGTGATCAAGGGCCATAACTCTGGCAGTAATTATCGGAAATCGCTGAAAATCAATAGACTTCTTCATCTCATGACCTTAAACACTGTGTATAAATTTAAAGTCAATCAGATATTAACTTTAACCTCTAGAGCTTGTGGACGCCGGCCAGACGGGGGTGACGACAATATACGACCACATTTCAATGTGGGCGTATAAAAACGACATTTTTGCAATATTCGAATGATATAGGTCGCGGACAAAGTTTCGAAATGTTTAATTGCTATAGTCCCATAAAAGTCTTGGGGTTTCTGGTAATGTCATTTGTTTGAAAATAGGCAAATATTTGATGAAACTACAGCCGTTTTTTTATTATTTTGCACCGTACTTAATTCGAACACTTCCGGTCTGCGTAGAAGTTTCAAAAGTAGTTGATCAAGTAGCCACAACATGGTTTCCCAATAGAAAATTAGGTCCCAGATCGGTATTTGTTAAGGGCACTGAGAAATAGGCTCCCGGGGAAAAAATAATAATAACTAGATCTGCGTGGCAGTGCTGAACGTTTTTCAGGAAGCAGACCAGAAGAAATCATATGATAGTCCATTCATCGGGCTATGTAACGATACATTAGTTGTTTTCATCCGGTAATATCCGGCGGGGAAATGGCATTTTTCGCAAAAGCCTTCATTTATCAAGTTTTTTTCCGCAAAAATATCGGATATTTTTTTGACTCTTTCCGGTATACGTGGCTTGGGCACTTAATTTCTTTTAACAGAAGTTTCAGAAACATCCATCGAGCAGTTTTGATAATAAAAAATATAAATAGAAGAGCATTTTCAGTAATTTAACGATTTTTCAACGTTTTTCAAAGATTGAGGCCTTTTTTGGTCCACTTACATCATTTTGAGGCTTTTATATTTAAATTCACACTCTAGACCACAGCTAGGCCTCTAAGTGACAGAAGTTTAAGAAAAGAAATAAATGAAGTTTTCGAAATACAAGCAACTCAATAGGCGATAGGCTCCAAACAGAAAAATACCAGATTTTCCACATATCTGTGGATATCTGTGATATCTGACGTAGAAATCACATTTTTCAGCTATCAAAATATACTCTTCAAAAAAAGTAGGGGATATTCAGAAACAATACAAAACTGCGGAAATGCACTGCTGTTTTTATTAGAGGTAACCAGTGTATGCTAATAATAGGCCAATTGCCTACACATGAAAATAAACAGTTCATATGGGGGGCTTATCTGACGGCCCTATTTCACTCGCAAAGAGATACACTGTCAAAAGTGAAAATGGACGTTTTTGATTTTTGTCTTACTCCACCAATCCTCAGACATTCAGCAATTTGTCGTGGCATGCTCCTAATCAACCGTCCAATCTCGATTTGGGGCAATCTGACCCACTCCTCTTGCAGTGCCACGGCTAATTAAACGTAATACACTAAAGCAAAGATACGCTAAACAGTAAATCTTATGCAAGAACGATAGGAAAGCAAACATGGATAGGATAAACCAACAAGCAGCAGTTTTCATCAACCCTTCCTTGAAGTGTCAAATTTGATAATGAACCCCTCCCACGTGTATGGCACTAAATCGTGTCGCACATGCAGCACAGTGGTTCTGTTCTTAACATACTCCCAAAGCATGTCAAGTGTCCATGACTATTTATCATATCACAACCTGCATGGGTATTTGCATTTCAATATCCCCTACTTTTTTTGAAGAGTATATTTCAATTCTTCGTAAGGAACTGTCGGCCATTTTGATTACATGTATTACTATTTTTTAAAGACGAAATGAAACATCAAATAATCACCTCTTGGATTAATCATTAGGAGAGAGAGAGAGAAATGGGGTTTAACGTCCACTCGACACAAACTAGGTCATTTCGGGACTAACATATGGTTTAATTTTATTTCAATAATTCGCTTGCGCGTAGGGGTCTTTAGCAGTGGGAGGAAACCGGATTAATCATTAGGAGTAAATAATTACTTGACATAGGCTTTATATATATCATTGGCATTATCAATCAATTAATCATTAATCCAAGACAACTGATTAGTATTACTCATTGACGCGATCCGGATTATCAGCCAGTTGATTAATTTATAGTGATTGACACTCAATAATAGTTAATCCAGGATAAATACGATTAGAATTTTAAGATTTTTTTTCCGACAGTTCTCAAAAAGAATCGCCACTACCGACAGTGGGATTAGCCAATGAAACGGTCTGTTACGGCAGCTTTTGGCGTGTGGTGCACGGAACTGTGGGTAATCCACTAGAAACATCTAATGCCTGACGTCATAGGGTCAAAAACTGATTGTATGACCTCTGATGCGACCTCCCACAACAACTGTTCAGATATTCATGTAGTGTAGGCCATCGAAAGTATAAAAGATAGGTTGCCAGGCAACGAAACATACGCCCACAGCAGCTAAATCATCCGGGCAGTCAACAAGAGTTGTCGGATATTTTTACTTTTTTCGGTAATGAAACATTTATAATACACTAAAATCTAATACAGAAAACCATTAGAATTTGTTTGGTTTTTATAAAGTTCTGCCCCATGCTAACGTTTTGTATACAAAACTTTTAATACTGTATCATGGATTTAGCTGTTCCAAGTCATAAAAATTCTTTGAAAATCAATTATACTTGTTCGTCTCAAGGTCTTAAACACTGTGTATAAATTTAAAGTCAATCGGATATTAACTTTGGCTTCTAGAGCGTCCACAAGATTTTTTGAAGTGATCAAGGGCCATAACTCTGGCAGTCATTATCGGAAATCGCTGAAAATCAATAGGTTTCTTCGTCTCATGACCTTAAACACTGTGTATAAATTTAAAGTCAATAAGATATTAACTTTGGCCTCTAGAGCGTCCACAAAATTTTTTGAAGTGATCAAGGGCCATAACTCTGGCAGTAATTATCGGAAATCGCTGAAAATCAATAGGCTTCTTCGTCTCAAGACCTTAAACACTGTGTATAAATTTAAAGTCAATCGGATATTAACTTTGGCCTCTAGAGCGTCCACAAGATTTTTTGAAGTGATCAAGGGCCATAACTCTGGCAGTAATTATCGGAAATCGCTGAAAATCAATAGGCTTCTTCGTCTCAAGACCTTAAACACTGTGTATAAATTTAAAGTCAATCGGATATTAACTTTGGCCTCTAGAGCGTCCACAAGATTTTTTGAAGTGATCAAGGGCCATAACTCTGGCAGTAATTATCGGAAATCGCTGAAAATCAATAGGCTTATTCGTCTCATGACCTTAAACACTGTGTATAAATTTAAAGTCAATCGGATATTAACTTTGGCCTCTAGAGCGTCCACAAAATATTTTGAAGTGATCAAGGGGCATAACTCTGGCAGTAATTATCGGAAATCGCTGAAAATCTATAGGCTTATTTGTCTAGTGGCCTTAAACACTGTATATAAATTTAAAGTCAATCGGATATTAACTTTAGCCCCTAGAGCGGATGGACGGACAGGGGCGACGACAATATACGACCACATTTCAATGTGAGCGTATAAAAACGAAATCAGATTGTAAGAAATAACATTTTTACAGATGTGCTTTATATTATGAACAATATTCAATTCATTTGTTACAGCACGTGAACTTACTGTTCTGAGAAATGGATGATTAACATGTTCTCTGTCTAACATTTCAAATTTAATATCTTGATCTAGTTTTAAACACTGATGAATATATTTACAGCGACCCAGTTGAATATCACTGAAACATAAATAATATTGTACAATATACTTGATATGTAAACAGTCTATATATGTACAAGGAAGGAAATAATAGAACAGTGGTTAATTAGAAAGACTACAACATGCACACATCATATGATTTAAAGATACATTAGTTAAGTGTTTTATAAAGAGTTGGCCATTCTTGCTTAACAATTCAAAGATAGGTTGCCAGGCAACAAAACATACGCCCACAGCAGCTAAATCGTCCGAGCGGTCGTCAAGGGTTGTCGCATATTTATTCTTTTGTAGGTAATTGGGGGCCTTTACAAGACAGTTCTATACAGATCAGATTATAAATTTTGTCGTTTGAGGGTTTACAAGGTTCTACAAACTGAAACAAGGGTCCTCAACTCTGGAAGTAATCTACAGAAATTGTTGAAATTTGACAGGCTTTTTCGTTTTACTAATTGAAATAATGCATATAAATTTCATACAGATCACATGATCACTTTTGTCATTCAAACATTCACAATCGTTAGAACTCTAGAAATTATTGACGGATATTGCTGAAATTCAATAAACCTGTTTCACAAATTTAAATGATGCATATAAATTTCATACATATCGGATGATAACTATCATCAATCGAGCATTAACAAGGTTTAACAAAGTGAAACAAGGGCAATAACACTAGAAGTAATTATTGTAAATTGCCGAAATTCAATAGGCTTTTTCGTCTCACTAATTTAAATCATGCATATAAATTTCACAAAGATCGGGTGATAACTTTTTGCGTTAGAGCGTTCAGAAGGATCAATAAAGTGAAACAAGGGCCATAACTCTAGACGTAATAAACGGAAATTGCTGAAATTCAATAGGCTTCTCCGTTTCACTAATCTAAATAATGCAAATAAATTTGACAAAGATCGAATGATAACTTTTGGCGTAGGAGCGTTCACAAGGTTCAATAAAGTGAAACAAGGGCCATAATTCTAGACGTTTAAATAATGCATATAAATTTCAGAAAGATCGGATGATAACTTCTGGAGTTAGAGCGTTCACAAGGTCCAGTAAAGTGAAACAAGGGCCATAACTCTAGACGTAATAAACGGAAATTGCTGAAATTCAATAGGATTCTTCGTCTCACTAATTTAAATAATGCATACAATTTTCAGAAAGAGCGTTCACAAGGATCAATAAAGTGAAACAAGGGCCATAACTCTAGAAGTAATGAACAGAAATTGATGAAATTCAATAGGCTTCTTCGTTTCAGTAATCTAAATAATGCATATAAATTTCAGAAAGATCGGATGATAACTTTTGACTTGACGTTAGAGCGTTCACAAGGATCAATAAAGTGAAACAAGGGCCATAACTCTAGACGTAATAAACAGGATTTGTTTAAATTCAATAGGCTTCTTCGTTTCAGCAATCTAAATACTGCCTATAAATTTCAGAAAGATCGGATGATAACTTTTGACGTGAGAGCGTTCACAAGGATCAATAAAGTAAAACAAGGGCCATAACCCAGACGTAATAAACGGAAATTGCCGAAATTCAATAGGCTTCTTCGTTTCAGTAATCTACATAATGCATATAAATTTCAGAATGATCGGATGATAACTTTTGGAGTTAGAGCGTTCACAAGGTTCACAAGGTTCAGTAAAGTGAAACAAGGGCCATAACTCTAGACGTAATAAACGGAAATTGCTGAAATTCATTAGGCTTCTTCGTTTCACTAATTTAAATAATGCATGTAAATTTAAGAAAGATCAGATGATAACTTTTGGAGTTAGAGCGTTCACAAGGTTCAATAAAGTGAAACAAGGGCCATAACTCTAGACGTAATAAACAGAAATTGTTGAAATTCAATAGGCTTCTTTGTTTCACTAACTTAAATATTGCATATAAATTTCACAAAGATCGTATGTTAACTTTTGGCATTAGAGCGTTCACAAGGTTCAACAAAGTGAAACAAGGGCCTTAACTCTAGACGTAATAAACGGAAATTATTGAAATTAAATAAGCTTCTTCATTTCACTTATGTAAACAACATATATCAATTTCAAAACAATTGGACGACGGACGGACGGACGGGGGCGACGGCAATATACGTCCGCATTTCAATGTGGGCGTATAAAAATAGATGATAAAAAAAAGAAAATGGTGAATTTCAGTCAAATTACTTTGTTCTGAACGGACGGACCGACGGACGGGGGCGACGGCAATATACGTCCACATTTCAATGTGGGCGTATAAAAATAGATGATAAAAAAAAGAAAATGGTGCATTTCAGTCAAATTACTTTGTTCTGAACGGAACTGTCACTGTTGGAAGTTTGGACTAGAAATAGGTATCAATTGTGTCTGCACCGTCTATGAGAATTGGCAATCGTTTGACTGACAGATGATAACTCCACCCACACATTCTCGATTATCAAGTAACATTCTCAATGGTTATGGTAGCCTCGCTTGGCAGGCCTTTCATCAGCAGTTTCCGGTAGTGGCATCAGCGACTAACGGTAAATGTTAGCTTGGTCTGCCATTTATTAATTTAATTTTAAATGGACGATTTGATTTTGAGCTTGTCGTGTAAATAAAGGTCTCATTAATAATTTCTATAACATCTGAAGCCTAAATGAAGACTTGCAACAGGCAGATTTAGCTTTTGACTAATGTATGTTTCATTCAGACAATAACTAAATTTTCAATAAAACTAATATCCTGTTTTCCACATACGGTAATACATGGCTCAAAATGTTCGCCTGTCTACTTGTCGCCAACAGGCGATTTTTTCGTCTGACAGGTAGCAAGTAAAACTACCTGTCGCAAACAACAGGTGGACTAAATTTTACTTGATGTTCAGTAAATTGACTCACAATACTCACGTCCACATCACGCACATTTAATTATTCGTTTCTAAATGCAAGAATTAAGCACGGAAATATCATGAAAAGCCGCCATTGCACTGTTTACATTTCGCTCCGTCATAGGCAACAGTTACTCACACAGTTTGGAAGTAGACAATTTTATAACAATAAATTTCACACCATCTGCGCTTGTCATCATCTGCTTGACACTAGTTTATAGCATTATGAAATATTATATCTAAATAAATTAAAACGCACCACCAGGTCATCTAAAATAGTTCCATCGTAATGACACCACAGTAAATATAGTGGTAGCTGGAATGGAAATGCACATGGCTCGTTGCCTGGTGTATTTAATCATTTAACCAGCGGCTGCCAGGCAGGATACGCCCACATTTTCGAGAGATGGATAGAAACGAAGCTAAAACGAAAGTGATTTTTGCTACAATCAAAGGCCATAATTTAGGAAATTACAATTCGATATGCGCAAATATTGAAAGGAACCAAGATCTTTGGGTTATAAACTTACATTTCAAGTTTCATCAAAATAGGATTAAAATTGTGACCTCTATAGGGTCCACAACCTTGATATACCATATTTTTATGCTATTTGAGAACGAAGGGCGGCCATTTTATCTGTCAGTTTTGGGCCGATTTTCACGAAATTCCTAACTCAGTCGTCCTTAGGGTGTAACGGTGATATAGTAATACGTTTTTTTAAATCGGATAAAAATTATGACCTCTATAGGGTACACAAGCTAAAAATGTGATTTTTCGTACAATCAGGAGCCATAATTCAGGCAGTTACGGTCCGATATGTGCGAATATCGAAAGGAACCGAGATCTTTGGGTTATAAACTTACATTTCAAGTTTCAACAAAATCGGATAAAAATTGTGACCTCTAATAGGGTCCACAAGCTAAAAACGTGATTTTTCGTACAATCAGGGGCCATAATCCATGAAGTTTCGATCCGATCCATGCCAATATCGAAAGCAGCCGAGATCTTTTGGGGATAAACCTATATTTCAACACTGAGAAGTAGTGAAGGTGAGATTTGTACGTTTAGGGCATAGATATCTCCCGATTTGTTAAATTTCTATGAATATCGGTAAAATTCTAATTATCGCAACAAATCTAATACGAAGAGGCTAAAATCTGTAGGTACGGTGTGTTAATTAACAGGGGTGAGAAATTGACTGAGTGGTGATATAATTATCGCTAGGGGTGAAAATCTCGGCGACGGTGCGTTTTCTGTACTGTTGTGTTAATTAACGAACGGGTTAAAAACGACTGACACGGTGTGTATTCTTTGTTTGGCGAGTTTTCTCGAAAGCGTGTTATAACTACACCAAAGTTGTTATATCAAGGACCAACAGGCTTTATCTGACGCGTAGGTGTTAAATCAAATTTACCGTGCGATTTCTTGTTTCCGTGTGTTTTAAGCAGATCGGTCTTTGTTAAGTGTAGGTCTTTATGCATGGATTTGTTCGTTCTTATACGTATTTCATTTCTTGGTGAATACTACGTGTTTGATACTTCGTACCATAGTCGGGCTGCAATTATTTATATATTTGTCTTTTTTGTGGGTTTAATTAGTTTTTTTATATATTATCGTGTGTACCACTGAAGTATAAATGCACGTTATTTACCGATATCCGGACCAACCTCCATTAATATCAGACTAACGAATCTGTTTCGAAAACCAAGTTTATAAATATAAAATCGAGCAATTGATGAAAAACTATTGGTTTCGTCATGTCTATATTTACTACACGTGGGCGTTTTAATGCATAAATGTATTGTTTCTTACCTGGGTTGTAAAAAGGACTATCCAAGAAAAATTTAATTTCCACATATATACTATTCAAAAAAAGTAGGGGATATTTGATTTTTAAGTGTTATTAAAGTCACCTAATGAAACTGACGAAGAAACAAATGACAAAATGAAATGAAGTTCACATTCATCGATTTATTCCAAATGATCGTTAGACTAAGTAAGGCACAGACTGACCATTATAAGGGTAAAATGATACCCGGGGTCAAACAGCAAAGTTACCACAGCATCACAACCAAGTCAGTAACGGGTAAATCCTCCTCTGTTTGCCAAACAAGCATTGATCCGACGTGGCATACTCCTAATGAGACGTCTAAGGTCATTTTGGTCCA